GATGCTTCTTTGGAGGACTTTAGCCTACATAAATGATCTTCAACATTAGAAATTGCTGGATGAGATTTAGAGGGAAAACTGTTTGATCTGACATGGAAGGCCATCTTTCTTTACTGAAAGGATGGTTTTTAAGACTTTTGAAGAATTTGAGCCTTGAGGAAAGATGGAATTTGAGTCTTGAGGAAATATGTTTCAGACAATCCCCTTGGCACCATATATATATAAAGAGAGATGAATGAAAGGAAACAGAAAGAATATGTTGTAAATCCAATGTCTCATCACCACTGGAAACTCAAATAAATATTATTGCACATGAGTTTCATGCTCCAAGAATCTGAGACAGAAAGGGGATAAACCCTTTGATAATTTGTTAACATTTAATGCCACTGGTTGAAGCTGAAAAATTGGATCATGCAGATCTTGGTGACATGATGCTTCAGTGTTCTTGAAGCATAGGGAATCTTGACAGCGATGAAGTTCATTTAATAATATTAGTCATTCAAACCTTGAAGGCCAGGGTGATGCTTATCTATGGAAATGAGTGAAATATATTATGGGCGCACACGAGTGCGACAAGCTCAACAACAATTGGGACCATCTAATTATGCAGAGGGAGTAAGAAATTGAAAAACACATTGATAAACTTCTATTATAAACAATCTTAGTCCCATTTTTACGTGTTAAATATGTCTCAACTTTTTAATTGTATCTTTCAGAATGTACTTATTTGAGGTAAAATGGTTAATGTTAATCCACTAATTATTCAATGATAAAGAACAAGCAGAATCTTGACAGCCTAGCACTAGATATCGCTTCTGGCTATTGCAATATCAAATTGCCTTAATTGAGTAAAATTAGGAATATTTTTCTGAAATAATGAAGCTTAGCTAATAACATTTTCATGCCAAATTCAATTGATTCACGTGTTGCAGTAATTGTAGGTGCTTTATTTGTTTAGAAATACACTAAAGCCACTTAAACAAGTGCACTTATGGCTTGTTTAGTAAGGTTAACTTTTAGAGTATTTGACAATACTAAAGAAGTAAAAATGCTGAAATCTTGTCTATAATACTGTCCAATACTTTACAATCCGCAAACAAAATATGCCCTTAAAAAGAACATAAAAGTTAATAGTGTAAGTGAAAGTTCGAGCGCTGAAAGTAAAGGTACTTGTTTGCTTGTTTGAAATAAAATATTGACAATGGTAAGTGATAACATATGAGTATATTTAGACAGACAGATTGATCAATACAAATGGGTTGAAGGTTCAAATATTGCTTGTACTGTTTACATTGACAATGATATACTAAATTATATGAGCATCATCAGAAAAGGCCAATGGTTGAGGACATTAAAAAGAGAAACTCTAGTTTTACCTAAACTCCTAAACAAGGCTTCCAAATTCTCTTCAAGTTCCTGGAAGATCATTTCTGATTCATTTAACTGATTTGTAACATTTTGCACATATAACGTGTCCATGTCTGTTCGCAACTTGTCAATGTTCAAGGCATACAATTCTTCTTGTATCTGTGAATGTTCACTGCTTGATCGACTGAACTTGGAAGAAAGTGACGAAGTATTTTGCTTTGACACGAAAATTGTCAATGTAGACTTGAGGACAAAAAAGCAAAGGGGCTGTGCTTCTATTAGCATGCTTGCAATGGCCTTATGATTGCTGTCTTTGTTTAAAATCACCGTAGAACAGCATTTTTTATGCACTTTTTAACCATCTTGTCTATCTTTTTCTTTAATTTATATATGTTTCAATTCCTCTATTTCTCCTCAAAGATGATTTGAGTTCTTCAACAGATTCCTTCGTCAATAATATAACATCTTGAGCAATTCCACATAAGTCGACAAGCTCAAGAGATCCATCAAGCAGCTCACTGGCCTGATCGATGAGGGACTGCTGAACAGATGGATGCTGAATTAAATTATTAATAACTTCATGTAAATCTCTAAGGCTGGCCAATTTTATGCATTTGGAAGAAGCTGAGACAGATGCTTCTGAAGACGCCTGCAGATATGATCTTCAACATTAGCAATTATATGATGAGATTTAGACGGCAAACTGTTTGATCTAACATGCAAAGCCATTTAAATTCAAAATTTTGACGATGGATGCAAACTTGAATCAGCTATATTATTATAACTTGGATGATCAATGGAAAGTTGAATCAATTATGTATTGGCAGATGAACTCTTAAGGGACAGAATATTTTCTACCAAATATGCTGTCTTATTATCATTGTAATTTTATTATATGATTGCAAACGAATACCTTGCCCCCATTGATGTTGAAGAGGAAGGCCACCAGCAATGTTAAAAATTTGTATGTACCAGAAATGAACCAAATTAAATGAATCTTGTAGATCTCTGTGTGATGCCGCCATAGTTGAACCAGAAAACAAAAGGAATCATGACAGCAATTCACTGGCCATAGTTTTGTCATCTGCCTGCACGCACACATCAAAATTTTCGTGTTCACATTCAACTTTAGGCTAAAGTAAAATATGTTTCCGGCTTGAGGCTATATTAAGAAGCCCTTGTTTGGTCCATATTAAAATTATAATTCATTTTTTTCTCTCTTCTTATCAATCACAAATTATAAAATAATATTGCACGTAAATCCAAAATTTTTTCTTCTTTCTTAATAACACATTCTTAAAAAAAAAATACTATTCCAAAAATTAAAATGGCAAATAATGGGGGCCAAACGGAGGCTAATTATGACCATTCAGTGAAAATGACAGTTGTACAATTTCTAATAAAAGTGTCGTAGCAAAGTTGACGAAATTCTTGACAATATAGACTTTTTGCCAATATTAACGAGAAATACCGATATCTATATGAACTACATATTCTCGTCAACCTTGCATAGTTTGTTGGGAATGCTTGGTTGGTTCGGAATTTGTACGAAAGGAAGAGAGAGAAATTGACAACGCTATCTTAGCATTCATTGACCAAAAAATTTAAAAAGTGAATATCGCTTAGAAAACAAAAATTGGTGGACATATTTTAGTATCTTATGCACTACATATACATGTACACAAAACCAATTGAATAAAAATGAAAATTATTTTCAGTCCAAACTTAATTTTTACAGGTCACAGTGTGAATCTTGACAACAATGCAGTTGATTTAATAATTTTGTTCATTCAACTTATTAAGGTTGGGCTGCTGCTTATCTTCAGAAGCATTAACCTACAAAAAATGGAATCCTTTAGTTGTCCAGTGTGATTAATCATACAGATTAACCCAAAAAATTATTAGTCTAAGAACACGAAGAATCTTGACAACCTGGAGATATAATCGCATCTGGCTGTTGCATTATCTGATTGTCATCTCTGAAATCAGTGCATTTGGTTACATTAATAATTTAAGATAAACTATCCATGTACTTCAATTAATTTTTGGTGCCTGTTGTGTTTAGAAAAGGCAAAAATAACATAAAAAGATGCACAGACTATTATTGAACATTAAAGTTAATAGAAAAGGTGAAAGTGCTTGCCTGAAGTAAATTTACTTGTATGCTTGGGTGAGATAAAATCTTGAAAAGGAAAACACATCAGTATATATATGGACAGACATATCACCAGAAATGTGTCGAATGTTCAAAAATATTGATTGTAGACAATGATTTACAAATTTGAGCATATCACTATAAGGCTAGTGGCTCAGGACATTAAGAAGAGAAACTCTAATTTTGACTGAACTCCTAAAGAAAGCTTCTAAGTTCTCTTCAAGTTCCTGAATGGTCATTTCTGATGCTTTCAACTGCTTCATGATATCTTGCACAGATACATTGTGCATGTCTTTTCGCAATTTGTCGATGTTCAAGGCATAGAATTCCTGAGCATTGCTCTCTTCTTCTGTTTCAGAATGTACACGGCTTGATTGGGTAAACTTGGAAAGCAGGGACCAAGTTTTTTGCTTTGATGCACAAATGGTCATTGCTGACTTGAGGGCAGAAAAGCCAATGACCTGTGATTCTTTTAGAACGGTTGCAATTCCCTTAAGATTGTTGTGTTTGTTGGTAGAGCTTTGTTCGAAACTCTTCAAATTCTTGATGCACTTATTAACCATTTTGTCAATATTTTTCCTTGAAGTCATATATGCATCAGTGCCTCTGTTTCTTCTCAAAGACGATTGGAGTTCTTGAACAGATTCCTTCATCAAAACTATAACATCTCGAGCAATTCCACAAATGTCGACAAGCTTGAGAGATCCATCAAGCAACTCACTGGCAAAAGTTTCATCGGCAAGGGCTTGCTGGACAGATGGAAGTTGAATCAAATTATTAATATTTTCGTGCAAATCTCTGAGGCTGGCCAACTCTGTGCATATGGAAGAAGATGATACAGATGCTTCTTTGGAGGACTTTAGCCTACATAAATGATCTTCAACATTAGAAATTGCTGGATGAGATTTAGAGGGAAAACTGTTTGATCTAACATGGAAAGCCATCTTTCTTTACTGAAAGGAATGGTTTTTAAGACCTTTGAAGAATTTGAGTTTTGAGAAAGATGTTTAAGACAATCCCTTTGGCACCATCTATATATAGAGAGATGAATGTAAGGAAACAGAAAGAATATGTTGCACGTCCAATGTCTCATCACCGCTGGAAACTCCAAGAATCTGAGACACAGGGGGGACAACCCTTCAATAATTTGTTGTTAACTCTTAATGCCAGCAGTCGAAGCTGAAAATTTGGATCATGCAGATCTCGGTGACATGATGCTTCTTCAATGTTCTTGAAGCATAGGGAATCTTGACAGTGATGAAGTTCATTTAATAATATGAATCATTCAAATCAAGAAGGCCATAGTGATACTTATCTACGGACAATGAGTGAAATATATTATGGGTGCACACGAGTGCAACTTGCTCAACAACAAATTGGATCATTTAATTATCCAAAGGGAGTAAGACATTAAAAAAATTCACTGATAAACTGCTATTATAAACTATATTAGCCCCATATTTAGGTGTTAAATATGTCTTTAACTTTTTAACTGTATCCTATAGAATGTATTAATCCATTGATAAGCGAAAATGGATTTTGTTTATTCCAATAAATATTCAATGATAAAGAACAAGCTGAATCTTGAAAGCCTAGTACTAGATATTGCTTCTGGCTATTGAAATTTCATATTTCCTTAATTGAGTAAAATTAAGCACATTTTTCTGTAATAATTAAGTTTAGCTAATAACATTTTCATGACAAATTCAATCGATCCATTTGTTGCAGTAATTGAGGTGCTTTATGTGTTCAGATAATCTAAAGCCACTTAAACAGATGCACTTATGGATGGCTGGTTTTCTCAGGTTAACTTTTCAGTATTCGACTATACTAAAGAAGTAAAAAGGCCAAAATCTTGTCTGTACACGGCTTGGTCGACAGAACTTGGAAACCTGTGACCAAGGTTTTTGCTTTGATGTGAAAGTTGTCAATGCAGACTTGAGGACAGAGAAGCCAATGTCCTGTCAGCTGTGCTTCTTTTTGCAAGCTTGCAATTGCTGTCTTTGTTTAAGAACACTGTAGAACGTTTGTAGAAAACTCTTCTAATTTTTTATGCACTTTTTAACCATGCTCTAGAACTTTTTTCTTGAATTCATAAATGCGATTCGAGTTTTCAAGAGATTCCTTCTAATTAATTTCGCTTCATTGAGTGCGCATAAAATTTATAGCATGTTAGGCCAAGATTTTTTAAGCTTATAAGTTGGTCAAACATCATTTTTGATATCACATTTTCTTTAGTATCCCAACTTTTATCCACTTGTTATCGCACATTCTTTAGAACTTACTACTTATAAGTACTTAAAAACGTAGCCAAACAAGCACTTTGTAACCACACCTTTTTCCAGATTTTGTGTCCACGGAGGAGAGTCTAGGATTCTGAATTAGCTAAGCCTAGTGATATACTTGGATTGGACTGCCAGGGAAGACTGCCCGTGTGGAGCCTCACAATCTTGGATTCCCCTCAATGGGCTTGATCAAGTCCGATCACCTCTAGTGATCAGTATCATCAGTTAGAAACTTGAAAATAATCAAATTCTGGCACAAAAGATATTGGATACTTGAAAAACAATGGTTCAACTAGAATTATTTTTGGCATCTTTGGTATCTACTAAATTAAATAAATTAGACATAATAAAAGAAAGAGTACAAAACATACAAAATGTTTGTCCGGTATCCCATCTGAATTATGGAAAAATTGGTTTATGTAGGACCACTATGAGTAGCCGTTTTGGTTGAGTAATCTGTATTTGAGCTTGGAAGTGACACTATTTAGGTATCAAAATGTCTTTATAGCGATTTTTAGTGTTCATTGGCACTATTTAAAATTTTGGGACCAACTGTGCCAAAAATGAATAGTTTGGGATGTTCTTGTCACTAGTTAAAAGTTTGGGACCAAAAAAGCAAGATGTATAAAGATTTGGGCCCATTTATGTCAATTTCTCTATAATTTTTTTCTTATAAAAAGACGAAGTTAGATTTGTATTATAATAATCTTTAACCAACAAAAGTCTTAGGTGTTCAAAAAAATTGTTATCTAACTTGTAAAAAAATAATTTTATTCAGTGTCTTTATTTTGTTCTAATGTAATTGTAAAAGTTATCAATTTATTACATCATCATCATAAATCTGATTTGTAAAATTGATAAAAATTCATGCATGAATGGCAAATATGTTGTGGGTGGCAATCCATAAATTTTAGAAATTGAATCTCTGAATCACAAAATCGAGATTTCTATAAAAAAAGCTTCTTTCAAAATAATTTTTCTAACGAAATAATATGAACCAAAATTTGTAAACAAACTTAGCAACTCGAACAAATTAATGTGCACAAAGTATTAGAAAATAAATGAATAAATTAATCTCTGTGAGTATATGTTTACATTATAACTAAAGTTATACCGTCGGAGAAGTAAAACCTAACA